TCTCTCTCTCTCTCTCTCTCTCTCTCTCTCTCTCTCTCTCTCTCTCTCTCTCTGTGTGTGACACACACATGCACACGCGCGCATGCGCGCAGGCAGGGCCACTTCAACAGTTTCATGTGTGCATGAACTGAGCAGCCTTCGAATGTGCAAAATGAGAAGGAGAGTATGGAGCAAGGGGTTGTGAGATGCAACCCCATCCCCAATCCCCTCCCCCTCCTTCTCCCCCTCCTCCTCCCGCTCCTCCTCCCCCTCTTCCTTCTCCTTCCGCTCCTCCACCAAACAACATGACAAAGATCCCGCCATAGACCTGCTCCCGCTCCTTCTCCCGCTCCTCCTCCCTCTCCTTTTCCCACTCCCTCTGTTGCTGCTCCTCCAGCTCCTCCCGCTGCTCGTCCTCCTTCCGCTGCGTCTCCTGCTTTTCCCCCCGTTCCTCCTCCCCCTCCTCCCGCTCCTCTTCCCGCACCACAACCCCGCTCCCGCTCCTTCCCCGCTCCTTCTCCCATGCCTCCTCTCGCTCCTTCTCCCGCTCTTCCCACTCCTCCTCCTCCTGCTCCTCCTCCCCCTCCCGCTCCTTCTCCGCCAAACAACGGAACAAAAATCCCTCCATAGCCCCGCTCCCGCTTGTTCTCCTGCTGCTCCTCCCTCTCCTCCTCCTCTCCCGCTGCTTCCCATGCTCTTTCCCCCGTTCCTCCTGCCGCTCCTTCTCCCGTTCGTCCTCGTGCTCCTCCCGCTTCTCCTCCTCCACCTATATCTCCTCCCCCTCCTCTGCCTTCCGAGCGTTTGTTAACCCCCTCCTTGCTCCCCGTCCAGCTCCCCCTCCCGCTCCTTCTACCGCCCCTCCTCCCGCGCCTTCTCCGCCCCTTCCCGTTTCTTCTCGTGCTCCTTCTCCCGCTCCCAACCCCCTTTCCGTTTCCCCTGCCGCTCCTCCTCCCGCGGCTCCTCCGCCCCTTCCCATTTCCCCTCCCGCACCTCCTTCCACTCCTCCTTTTCCCGCTCCTTTCCCATCCCTCCTCCTGATCTCCCGCTCGTCCTCCACCAAACAACGTGACAAAGATCCCGCCATAACCATCTCCTATGAAAAAAACAAGAGAAAAATGGCCCGCCACGTGGCTAGCCGCGCGCGCGCGCGCGCGAGAGAGAGAGAGAGAGAGAGAGAGAGAGAGAGAGAGAGAGAGAGAGAGAGAGAGAGAGAGAGAGAGAGAGAGAGA